TGCCTAAGTGATAATGAGCATTATAATTTCTAGCAGGCGTTGAGCACTTTATGTGTCAGTTGCAATGCCAAGCACTCTATATGTGTGACTTCATTATATTCTTATACTCTTAGGACATGGATACCATTACTGTTCCCATTGAAAGATGTGAAAATGGTACTCAAAGTTACAGAGCTAGTATGTGGCAGGCTGAGAATTTACATCTAGTTTGAAACCAGTGCTCTCACCCAACTTTCCTCCTTGGTCAATTCAGCATTTCAAGGCTTAGTGTGTTTGTCCTTTAGTGAAGTCCTCCCAGTCTTCCCTGTCCTTTCTTCTCCTATAAAATACACTCAGCATTTTCCATCTACATTTATTACAGTGCCTAATGTTATTTACACATTGGACAATTTATCAGTTCCTTCAACAGAGATATTTGGAATGCATTCGTCACAGGATATGGTACTGTAGAGTGAATGGGAATGAAGTAGGGAATGAAGCAAGTCAGGACCTGGCCTCTTAGAGACTAGTAAGAGAGACTTAAAGCAAATAGGCATAGATATATGCCATAAAATCCCAGATGATAGTTGCTATGGAGAAACACTTTGAATGTGGGTAATATGTCTGTCTCTAAGCATCACATGAGCACATAACAGTCACAATTATGGGTTTTTTTTACAATTTTTTTTTATTTTCCCACCACTAATGTGTTTCCAAATTGATGGGCAGTTGGTGTTGCATTAATAAATTTTAGGAACTATTTAGGTTAGAAATTAAATTTCAAATTGGAAATTGAAATCAACCTTGTAGAAATGGGATCATAAAACCTTTTGGCATCATGACGTGAGTTTCAGAGAGAAGACATAAATATTATGAATGAAAGAATAAAATTGGATTTGACCAGAGGCAGGCAAGGTTGTCTCAATGTAAATCTCTCAATTCAGGAATGTACTTGTTTAATTTGATATAGCATGAGTTGACAATGTTCAGAACACAATGAAAAGGTCTATTACTCGAAATTTTTCCAGCTGAGATTGCTGAATTAGTGCTTCTAAGGATAAATGAACATGAAAATGTGTTCTGGTTACTGCTTCTTGATTGTACTCTGTTCAACCTTTTCCCATCTGCTGATTACACAATAATTAACAAGTGGTCTTTACAAAGAGCTATGCATGAAAATGAAATCCCCAAATATAATATTTTAGATCTCAACCTTCGTGTGAGAAGCATTTACTCAGCCATAACATTTCCAAATAACTTTAGCCTACTATATTAAGTGCTTCTAAATTTTCAGGAAAAAAAAAACAATAATAAATGCTCAAAGAATAACATTAGAACAAGACAATGTAACTCAGTGTCTCAAAAGCAGTACCACTGGGCTGGGGATACAGTTCAGTGGTAGAGCTCTTGCTCAGTATGTGCAAGGTCCTGAGTTCCATCCCCAGCACTGCCCCCAAACAAAACAAAACAAAACAAAAGCACTAGTACAATTGAGATAAACATTACAAGGGATTTATCAACAGTTACAAAACCCACTTAAGGATATAAACATAAGGCAGTTGCCTTAGGATGCAGCTTGTTGCATTTGAGTACTTGAATTCACTACTTTTGAAGTTATGATAAGCTATAACAGTTTGGAAGTGAGTTCTGTTACTGGAGAAACTGAATTAAAATTTAAAAAAAAATACAGCAAAACGAAAGATGTCCATCTGTTCACCACAAAGAATAAAGACTTTAGTGCCAGTTTAGAGTACTCTACTTTAACCATGAACATCATAGGAGTTTGCTGGAGTCAGAGCCCTCCCTGCCTATAATATCCAGACAGGTATGGGCCTATAAATCAGGTTATGTTAATGTAGAGCTTAGAGTTTAATGATGATAAACGCTATATAAAGGTTACACTAAAAATAGTACACATCATAGACCCAGGAAGTGTTTGAATCATACCTACAACTGTGTACAATGTAGAAAAGGGGAATTATCCCCACATTTGGTGGTAGCTTTACTTTGATTGAAAATGGCTTTATAGTTTCTTTTTACATTGTGCTATAGCTTGGATCTGGAGTGTCTCCCAAAGGCCCATATGCTAAAGGTGTGGTCAGCAGCCTGTGGCATTAATGGGAGGTGGTGGAACCTTTAGGAGGGAGAGCCTAGGGAAAGGAAGTTAAGTCTCTGAGGACATGCCCTTGAAGGGCATGTTGGGATCCTGGCTCTTGCTCTCTCTGCTCTCTGGCCTCCGTAAGGTAAGCAGCTTTGCTCTACCACCCACTCATCTCCATGATGTCTGCATGGCCAGAGGCCCAAAAGCAATGAAGTCAGCCAACAAGATCTGAATACTCTGAAATCCTGAAACATCCTTGTAAGTTGATTATTTCAGGTATTTTGCCACATGATAGAAAGTTGACTAACATATATTTAGATTTCTATGCCATACCGCCCCCTGAGGATTTTAAATACTTTATTATCACTTACTATATATTGAATTTCTCCTCTTCTCAGAACAACTTTACATTTCCTGTGCTTATAAAAAGTAAACAACTGCATCTGCAAGATTTAATATCTTCACCCATTTGCCCCCTGCTTCTCTTCCTAACCTACAACCAACTGACAGATATCAGGGGATGATCATTGGGAAGTGTTATCAGGATACCTTTGGTTCACTCAAAAATTATACACATTCAGGATTTTATATTTGCAGTTTTTCCATATTTCACTCTCAATACATGTGCACTGTGATAAATTATGCTCATTACAGCATGATTTCAGATGAAATAAAACTTATAACATTTTATGCTGCTGTAATTGTATCTAAATGATCCTTTTACTCATTTAATAAGAGTAATACATTTTAACATTATTCAATTATTCCCATTTTGGTTCAATTATGTGTACATTTTGAATATCACAAATAACCTCACTTATCTCTAATTCTAAACATAATTTAGAAAAAAGTAAAATATCCTATGTTCTAAAATAACAAATATTTTTAAAACTACAAGTTTCCTGATAAAATGAATTAACATACAATTGGAATATAAGTAAATGTATTTATATAAATATAAATGAAGACATATAGTAACAAAAAAAGTATTCCATATCAAGTCAGTAGTATCACTGTAGGGTAATTATTTTAGTCTTACATTTTTGTAATGTCAATAATGACATTTCTTATAGAAAATTAACAAGAGGTTTCTCCTAACAATTATACCTAAAAGACACTAGCTTGCATAAAAACCAGAAATAAAAAATATTAACCATGAGAGTCAAGCAGTTGCAAAGACCAGTTAGTCACTAAGAAGCTCTGACTGACTCAGGAATACTCCAGCTCATCATTGTAATGGCAGAAGAAGGTACTTGCTAAACCACACCAGGGTTCCCTCAAAGCCACAGGAAGAATAATATACAGAACACTGTTTCCAAGACTCAAAACATGGGCAAAAACTTACCTTAAATGGAGATGATTTCAAACAGCCTTTGAAACCACTTCATCCTGCCATTTAATGTAATTAACAAGGATGAAAACTACTGCCACAGCCTCATTAGTTTCTGCTTCATTTACTGAAAATGTTCCCTGTTCTGCTGACTAATAGTCACCTGGTGAGGCTCAAAACTTTGCAAGACAATTGTTCTGGGGTAGGCCTGGGGGCACCTGTGCATCTTAAAAACTCTCCAAGCAGTTCTACAATAGTCAGGGCCATGAGTCAAAGATTCCTCCCACAGCTGTTGCCTTGGTTTCCCAGCCTTCAGTCTTGGCCTCCTGTGACAGCCTCTGAATGCTGCCACAATGATCTTTTGTAATGCTCATGGAATTAAATTCAAACTTCTGAGCAAAGGGTGGAAGACTCCACAGGACTGCTCTAATCTACCTGCCAAACTGCTCTTCACTATTCTTTCCTCATTGTCTCTGCAAAGCTGCCTCCTAGGGCCTGGCTTCAGCCTCTGCACCTGAGCTCTTACTCACCCCTTGCTCTGAGCTCTGAAATGCTCTCCATTCTGCGGGGACCCCACCTCCTCAGTGAAGCTTTCCTGACATTCTAGTGCCCAGCTTCCTGCAAGTGTCCCCAAAGCACCCTATATGAATAGGTGTGTGTGTGTGTGTGTGTGTGTGTGTGTGTGGTGGGGGTGGTATTTGTTTTTTTCTAATCACAGTGAACTGTCATTTTAGAGAATATGTCTCCTTTTATCTTCTGTTACAGTTTGATTTTTAAGCATCCCCTGAATGGTAAATAAAGGCTGGCTCCCTGGGGTGGCACTAGTAGGAGTTGGTAGAGCCTTAAGAGGTGAGGACTAGTGGGAGGTCTTCAGGTCACTGAGCCTGTGCCTTCAAAGGAGATTGTGTGACCTGGTCCCTTCCCCTAGCTCTCTCTTGCTCTCTAATCACAAGGAGAGTCCCAGTCAGTCATGGACTAAATCCTTCAAAACTGTGAGACAAAATAAACATTTTTTCTATAAGTCATTTATCTCAGTTACTTGTTATACTGACAGAAAACTGACTAACACATCTTTATTAGATTTTCTGAAGCAGGGACAATGTCACCTTTACTTTTGTGTCCCCTAAATTTAACACAATATCAAGCATACACTAGTATTCTATATTTGTTGAATAAAAAGTGAATAACATTTTATATTACTTTCCTTTATTAAAGAGTTAAAAGAGATTTTCACTGGGACCACTAGGAAACTCAAGATCAAGTCATAGTTCAAAAAAAAAAAATCCCTAGTATTATCTTGGTATTGGTAATGGTAATGAGTATTACTCTAAAGATTATCTTTCCAACTGTATTACCAGTTGAATTTTCAACATGATTAAAGTCAATAAAAAAATCTTTAATGAAATCCTCAAGAGTGCCATCTTAGCATCAGTCTCCTCAGACCACACATTTTCAGAATCACAGGCAATGTATGCTCACCTTCGGCTCCGGGAAGGGAAGGAAGCCCACTTAATGCCCACCACAAGTTGGCCCAATAGGGCTGCTCCCATCATGTGACATCTAACCCACAACTCTGGTGAACATGCTTACTTTATATTTGCTTTCTGATCTTGAAGGGGTGGGAATATGTCCTTTTTTCTTAAAGGTTGTAAAGTGCTTGCACTGAGGACACGGCTTGGTGCTGGAATCAATGCGGCCAAGTTCCAAGAAGTACTTATACTTGATGGAGTCTTCATGTGTTAAATTATAGACAACAGTTGTTTCTTCCAGGAATTCAAAGCACTCTGTGATAGGGCATTTGATTTCTACTTGGCCAAGTTGTACCTGTGTGAAAGAACAGGTGGTATTGGTTATTAAATTTCTTTCTCTTTTTTGCATTAAGTATTGTTATATCTTGATTATAGTAAAGGGTTGTTTGTTACTTTTAAAGATAACAATGAGGGGCAATCACTTTGATACCTGTATTAGGCAGTTCCAAAATAATCACTATGTTTCCATACTGATTTATTATTGGAAGTTTAGTTTTCTCTGATCATATTTGTGAACCTAAGCCACAGGCTCGCCAACGAAACAAACTTCAACCCCATCCTGGAAACACCATGAGGAGCCAGCATTCACACCCTGTGCCAATGATAGGAACTGCAGGGTGAGCCAGCATTCAGACCATGTGCCAACTACAAGGTGTTTCAGATGTCAACATTATTGTAGAATATTTCGGCACTAAACTTTAGGCACATTTTACTTTAAAAGGACAAAAGATATTTTGTAAAGTATATTATGCAAGATATCTTGTAGTTTGAAAATCATTGCCAAAAAAAATAACTGTTTTTTTTTTTTCTGATCCTTCCACCTGGCCTCTACTTATGATTTTAAGTTAGTTCCTATGTCTCCAGAACCTCAGGAGCAAGGAAGAAAAATAAATCAAACACAAAGGTGCAAAATAAGGAACACATGTATCTAGCATTTTGTATAGGATATTAGATATGGCTAAAGTTGAAAACAACAGTAAAATATTAAAGCACAAAATGTGAACACAACCGATTTTTGAGAGCTGAAGGAAGTAAACAACTTTCAAATAAGAAGGTCTAGAATCTCTCCTTTATTAGTGAATAGGAACTCTTCTATGGCATAATAATCTTCTTTGCTCTTCCTAATATAGCAAAGGCAGGCACTGAACACTCCACATGGCAAATGATGATTTTCACTTGTGTGACTGACATTCTGAGAAATAAAAACACATCCAGCTGAATGAGAAACGCAAACCCTAACAGCCGAGGCAGGAAGGGGAGGAAGCCACAGGCTCTGTGGGAGAAAATCGTCACAAAGAGCAATGAAACTTTGAAAAGCCTAAATTCACAGTAACTTTGAACTTTACTGTTTATACTGCACGAACTTGAGGAAAAGTAGTTACAAAGTTGGAAGGTGAAGGGTGCACGAGAATGACACGTTTAATTAATACCATGAAGGATATGAGCAAAAAATGATACAACGTGGAAAGGTCTGAGGAAGAGAGTCTGACTTTGAGTAAACGGCTGAACCATTACGGATCTGAGGAAAGTACAAAATGATACTTATTTGATGCTACTACTGTATAAAATGTGGTCCAAAGAGCTTTATTTTTAAAATAGTTACCCAATTTTTTACTTTTTTTGATGAGTCTGTTTACAGACTCAAATTTTTCTATTATACATTGTGGTGTTTTCATGGTATACTGATTCCATTTTTTTTTTGGTACTGGGTATTGAACTCACAGGGGATTAGCCACTGAGCCACATCCTCAGCCCTTTTTTGGATTTTATTTAGAGGCAGGGTCTCACTAAGTTGCTTAAGTCCTTGCTAAGTTACTGAGGCTGGCTTTGAACTCATGATCCTCCTGCCTCAGTCACCTGAGCTGCTGGGATTACAGGTGTGCACCACCACACCTGGCCTCCACTTATGATTTTAATAAATTATTTTAAGACAGCAGTCCTCAAGAGAGTTCATGTAGACAAAACTACAAAACAAGAAATCTGGCTCGATGAAGTATATAACTTAAACATTCAAAAATGATGAAATATTTCCCCCTTCAACATTCTGTTGACATTTTTGAAGGCCAATTCTGAGCCTCCTACTAGGTTAGGGACTGAAGCTTCACAGGTGCCCATTGATCAAGAGGCAGTGAGGACAGAGTGAGTGCCAACACCTGGCACGATGAGCGCAGGTGTCAGAGGGCAGCATGGGGAAGTATGGGAACCTCGCCTGGGGAGGTTCAGAGGAGGCTTCTGGGTAGAAGGGAGGCTCCAGATAAGATCTTAAGATCTGTAAGACTTGGCAAGCAAGGGTGAAGGCATTCAAGCAGACCGAAGAAATAGCACAGACAAAGGAGACCTGGGGAATACAGCAGAGCACACAGAACAGGGATGGGCCATATTGTTCCCATCCCTGAACCCCATCAACTTAAACAGCACATGGGCCTGCATCTGAATTTAGAGATCACCACCTTAGCGGGGGGGATTAAAGATGTGTAGTAAGAATGGCCCAAGTGTGTGAGTATGGAAAGCTGAGGCTGTGCAGATGGACTTGGACCAGAGGATGAGAGTAGAATTGCTACCTTGGGAATCTGCATTTTGTCCTATAAAACTGGAAAACTATTCCATTTGTAGCACATGAGAGTTTCTTTTCATTATACCACACACACGCACACACACTGCCATTTCAGTCACTTTAAGGGCTCCTTTTTATTGGGGAGCAGTACACTTTATTGATTTTGGAGACTGAGTTTTCAATCCCCAGGTCAGTGTTCGAATCCAGACTCCCTCAACCTATAATTTTTTTTTTTTATCGAAATACATGATAACCATTGATGCAGCAATTTTACAGCCATCTGGGAATATTCAGATCTCAGGGAAATGGAATGTAGTTTAGGGACTACCATCTTCTGCAGCTCAAGAGACCAGGCCACCTTGTCACTCGTTCAGCAGTGGGTGCTCATCAACCACACTGGGCTACCTACCACTCAACCTCCAACAAGCACCTTGTCTTCTATTTTGATGTTTCTCAAATTTGTCTGTAAACTCATTTTATTTCCCACAGAAAATTCCTCTTTGCTTACATACTCTCCTATTGACTATTCCAAACCTTCTCTTCCTTTCAAAATCCCTGTCCTACCTTATTGATCCAATAGCCTTACATAGTATTTTATTGAACATGCAAAAATCAGATGCATATTCTCCTGTCTTCCCACTGCCAGCTTTATCAGTGTATCAACTCTGACCCCATCTTTTCTCCCTTGTTACCTTGTATAGTGGAGGGCCAAATCTACTTCCAGGACAACTGCATACAAATTGCTTGAAATGTTTGTTGAGAATTCAAGTTTCTTGGCCGACTCAAGACCTACATATTCAAGGTTGAAATTATTGTATTTTGGGGTTTTTTAAAGTATTTTTTCCTTTCCACTTTTTTTTTACTGGTACCTTATAACTGTACATATGATGGGATTTTTTGTTACGTATTTATATATGCACACAATATAAGAAAATAAATTGGCCCATATCAATCCCCAGAACTTACTCCTACCCTCCAGACTTCTCAGCCATGGTCCCTTTCCTCTACTGATCTCCATTTGATTTTCATGAGATCCCTGCCCCCCATTCCCATTTCCTTCTTTCTCTCTAGCTTCCACATATAAAAGAAACATACAATCCTTGAACTTCTGAGTTTGACTTATTTTTTTTTTAATATGGTCTGTAGTTCCATCCATTTCCCTACAAATGACAATTTCATTTTCAGAGTTGGAGTTCTTGCCAATAAGCCAATAATTGGCAGTCTGAAAAATCACTCTCATAATATTTTCAATCTCTCATATTTCTTAATACTAACACCATCAGCCTTTTTCATGGATAGTGTTATTCATGATCTGTCTGATCTCTTGGTTTCTATATGTGTATTTTTTTTTTTTAGAAAATAATTTTCTCAAAAGATTGCTGCCAAACAAAAAATCTTGACTAAGCAAAGTGCATTCATTTATTTAGTCAACAAATAAGTGTTCCATTAATTCAAGATGCACTTTAAAATAATCATTTGACATCTCAAAAGTCAAGACTGTTTCAGAATCAATAGTCATTAGCTACCTTTTAATTTGCACTGCTTTTACTTTCTTAGTGGTACATAACATGATACTGCATCCTACAATTGATCATATCTTTTAAATTTCAATGAAGTGTGATTTTTATGGATCAGGCATTGAGATGAACTTCTGGTGAGATGGCAGGAGAAAGAAACATCACATTGGAGAAAATGCATTATAAGTAAACAAACAAACAAATAAAAAAGATTGTAACCAGTGTTACCATGAACTACATACACATAGGGAGAGAGTCTGGGAAAGTGCCTGGGCCTGACATGCAGAGGAAGACACTGCCTGCAAAGCAAACCAGGGCAATGGCCCCAGGGAAGAAGGTGCCGAATGTGCCTGATATTTCTGTGCTCAAAGCAAAGAACAGAGTGACTGAAACATATTAAGTGAGAGAGGGAACAGCATGAATGACACTGAAGTGTCAGGCAGTAGACAGATCACACAGGCCTGGTTGGCAATGATTAAGTTTCCACTATATTCTAAGTTCAATATAAATCCACTAAAGGTTTTAAGGGGAGGAGTAATGTCTTGATTTACATTAAAAAAAAAAAAAAGAATCAGGCTCTTCTAGGAGGATGCACTGTGCAGGAGCAGAAGTGCAGGTTGGAAGAATAGTGGCTCTCGGATTGCAACTCTCTTACCACCAGTTGTCCAAGTAGTAGATGATGGATGACTGAACTTGGTAGCAAGAGGTGGCCAGAGAACCAACTGGGATGTTTTAAAATTGACAAATAAAAATTGTATGTTTATGGGATGTAACATGTTGTTTTAAAATATGTATATAATGTGAAATGAAATGGTTAAATTAAGCTAATTAAGATATGCATTATCTCACTTTTTTTCTTTTCTTTTTTCTTTTTTAGTGAGAACACTAAAACCCTTGGGAGCTTATAACACATTGTTATTAACTAGTCACTATGTTGTATAACAGATTTGTCGAGTTTATTTCTTCTAAGTATGAATCCTTTGACCAACCTCTCCCAATCCTCCCCACCCCACCCCAACAAACCCCTGGTAATTAACATTTTACTTCCTGTTTTTATGAGTTCAATGTTTTTAGATTCCAATATAATTATGGTTCTGACATCATTCTGCTTATGTTATTCAACATAATGGCCTCCAGGTTCATCCATATTGTCACAAATGACAGGATTTCCTTCTTTTTAAAGACTACTATTCTATTGTGCATATATAACTCATTTTTTTTCCT